AGGGACCGGAGCCCGAGCCGCCGCCGCCGCGGGCTCAGACCCGGCCTCCGTCCCCGATGGGATTCCCGTGCGCGCCGTCCCGAGCCTGCAGCGCCCCGGCCCTCGGCCCTCGCCTAAGCTCCGCGCAGCCGTTCAGAGGTCCCCGGGAGCTGCTGCCGGCGAGCCCGCTACTGCAGGGACCTATGGTGAGCAAGGCGCCCGGCGAGGGGCGTCGGGCAGAAGGCGCCGAGGCGCGTCCTGGGTGGGGGGGGGCGGTAGGGAAGCGTGGGGTTCAGGCGGTGGTCGCGGCAAAAGTTCCCCCCTCCCCCCTCCCGCAAACGGCGGTGTTGGAGGTAGGGATGCTGGCGCTGAAAGGCACCACTGCCTCTAGAAGGCCACTTTCGCCGTCCCGCGACGCCGGCTGTTTTCACCTGGAGGAGGTTTGGGGCGGGAGAGGAGGGAAGGAGAGATGCCTTAAGTTGGGGGCCGTCGGAAAGGCTGAGGGGTCTCGAGCGGAACACGATGCGGGGAGATGGGCGTTTGCGACCCCCGGACGGGAAGGGCAGGGAGAGAAAGGAGTGTCGGCTCTGAGGGCGGGGGAGAGTGAGGGGACGGCCAGGTGGAGGGAGGACACCTGCCCAGGGCCGGTGCTGCGGCGCCGAGGGCAGCTCTGCTGCCCGGAGCGAGCGCACCTCGAGAGGGGCTGCGCAGGAGGGAGTGTCACCCGACGCGGCCCCCGCCGGCGGACGCCCCGGAGAGCTTGCGGACCGCCGCGGCCAGACGCACCTCCCGCACGAGCCTTCCCCGTGCGCTCGCAGCATCCCAGGAGCCTCTCCACGATCATTTCATGGTGTAAGGTCTCGATGGCCGGGATGCCAGGTGCTCCGGGGACAAGTCTTCCTGTGGAGCCACGTCCTATAAGGGAGTTGCGGGCGAGCCTCACCGCGGACACGCGGTTCTTACTGGCTCTTCCCGCCTGGAGCCGACAGGAACGGGGTCCCCCGAAATCTCGGGTCCCTGCGGACCCTTCCCGGCCGGAGTTGGGCCTGCGGCCTCAGATGCCTCCTGGGCACCTCCTAGGTGGACGGATGGTTTGTGAGGCTTTGTGAGACGTGAAAACCCCCAAAGACAGGGACTTGGTAAACCGAGGTTACCTGGGAACAAACCGGCGTTGAGAGACGACTCAGGCAGGGAAGTGGACAATCGCCCTGAGTTGCATCCACGCCCTCCCCCCAAGAAAAAGTTCAGAGGACGGAAGTTCTTTTCGGCTTTTACCTTTTTTAATTAAAAAATTGGGGGAGAAAGTTATGAATAGAGATGAATACTAATTACTGAACCCGAAATTGAAACACAACCAGCTCTTCCCCAGCCTCTGCGTTTTAGCGCGGCGTGCGCTCCCGCAGCCACCCTAGGATTGTCGGGGGATTCCGGGCGCCGGCCCCTTCCTCTGTCCCTTCGCTCTGCTGGGACCTGCCCCTCTCGGTCTGCTGTTCCCATTTCTGGAACTCCTCCCACAGGGCTTTTTGTTGGTTCCTGGCGTCTCAAATAGAAAAAGAAAAGGAAAACCTCTTTGCCCTCCCCAACCCTTTCGCAGTCAGCTCCAGCGGTGGCGCGGCAGCGGGAAAACAGCCGCTCAAGAAACGGCGCGGCGCTCTCCTGGC